TGCGGAGTGTACACATGCATAAGATCGAATTAGTAATCGGTTCGACGCCAGGTTGGGGGTCCGGGGCAACGCTCCTAGCGGGGTCGAAGGGGCAGCGCCCCTTGGTCCGGGGTTTCCAAATGGGCAGTGCCCCTTTGGTGGGGTCTAGGGGAAGCGCTCCTAACGGGGTCGAAGGGGCAAAGCCTCTGACTGCGGTCTCCGAATTTTACATATGGGACCATAGTGGGAAAATTGAATTCTTGAGGGTGATTTTGGTAAACTGACGAATGTCATCAATTTTGGAAACCCTAAACCCTCACTAAATTCCAGATTTCCCTGAATTGCTTCCAAAGCAACCCATGACGGACAACCCTAAGAAACAAACCCTAAATCTCAAATATTATATAAACGACTATTCTCTTTGAGAAGAGGTACACAATTTTTAGCTCTCTTTTCTTCAGACGAACATAGAATCCTTCTAGCAATTTAGCTTACGAATTTTGTGCCTAGATTTGTCCTCTTGGATTATCCTAGGCTGAATTTCTTGCAACCCAGACATATGGTAGAAATATTAGTTCGGAAAGTGTTCAAACGATCCAAGGGGTATCCAGATCTCCAATATAAACCCTAATTCATCCAACAATCAAACTGATATTTCCTGCTTCTGGAGATCGGAGAATCAAATTGTAATATGACAACGAAGTTTGCAAAGCTGGAGAAGTTTGAAGGCGTCGATTTCAGGCGCTGGAAGAAGAAGATGCACTTCATGATGACTACTCTGAAGGTAGCATTCGTGCCGACTACTCCAAGACCACCGGAGGTTGAGGAAGGTGCTGCTGAGACAATTGAAGAGATAAGAAGGAGACAGAAGTGGGACAACGATGACTACCTCTACAAAGGTCATATTCTGAACGGTATCTCGGATGCTCTATTTGATATCCATAGTGAAGCCTTATGTTCCAAGGAGTTGTGGGACACCCTTGAACTGAAATACATCACCGAGACACTTCTAGCAAGAAGTTTATGCTCAATGATTTTAATAATTTTAAGATGGATGATTCAAGGGTTGTCACTGAACAATACAATGAACTCCTGGGCATAAATGGTCAGTTTAAACTGCACCGTATGAATATGGATGAATCCATTGCTGTGTCAAGCATCATTAACAAACTTCCTACATCCTCGAAGGATTTCAAACATAACTTAAAACATCAAAAGGAGGAACTTTCTTTGGTTCAACATGCTAGTCCTATTTGTATTGAAGAATCTCTTTGTGCGAAGGAAAGTGACAAATTTGATTAACCCAAAGGGAAAGTTAAATCTGGACAGCCATCGGTTTATTTGGTTAACCACACATGACATGGAAAATGTAAGCAGGAACATGTCCCAAATAACTCCAACAAAAATAAAAAGGATCTGGTTTGATGGAGGTGTAATCAGGTTGGGCATTGCAAGCGTGTTTGTCGTGTGAACTTAGGCAACAATAATGGTGCTGGAAACAGTGGAGCCAATGAAAAGGTGAACGGGTCCTCGGGCCAAGTTAAAGGAGGTCAGCTTTTGACTAACTTTGATAATTCTAATCAGAATTATGTTTATTATGTTTCACTCATTCCTGAATCATTCTATGTATAGGATGATGATGTTTCTTGGTGTATCGACTCCGGGGCAACGAACCATGTATGCAAGGATAAACGGATGTTTGAAACATTAACTCCGCTTGAAGATGGATAGGTGCTGAAAATGGGAGACGATTCTTTTATTCCTATATGTGGTGTCGGTGTCATGTTTCTTGAATTTACTTTTGGAAAGACAATTAGGCTTTTTGATGTTTTGTTTGTACCCAAGATTCGCAAGAATCTTGTTAGTTCTAGTTGTTTGAATTCTAATGGTTTTAAACAAGTTATTGAGTCGTATAAGTTCATTTTATCTAAGGGTGGAATGTTTGTTGGCTATGGATATTTAAATAATAGAATGTTTTATTTGAATATTTTTGACAATTTATTACCTGTTCAAAATTCTGCATTTGTATCTTCTGCTTATAATGTTGATAAATCTATTGTCACACCCCCGAACCAGACGGCCGAAACGTCCGAAGGCTCGCGTGACTTAAATTGAAATATCATCACAATGAATATACATGAAACATAACACATTCATCACCAAACATTACATAGTACAACTGGCATTGTTTACATCAAGTACATGGTTTACATTCATGATCCCAAAATATAAAGTGTTTGGTGATTAGCAACTACAAAAGAAACTTTCAACACACTGGATGCTTCCTCGTTCTAACGATTACCTGAGAATACAAGTTATTTTGAAAACGGTCAACATATATAATGTTGGTGAGTTCATAAGTATGTTTGATGTAAAATAGTTTATGTCGTTCGTAAAACCCAGAAAATCCGATATTTTCTGTAATAAGACTTTTCATGAAAATGTTGTGATGGTCTTGTAAGTATATGCGTGAATGATTTCAAACCGTGTATAAATGAGAAGTTTTGCATTATAGTTTTTGAAAGTACAATTGAGTAAGATTGGTTTCCCCGAAAAACCCGATGTTTTCCGATAAAATATTATGATTGTTTTGTATTATTGTATCGTCACAGCGAATGAATATGATTTCCCCTGATTACTTAGATGGTATTGGATCTCTATGTGAGTCGTTATAACCATGCATGATAATGACTAGTTCGTCTGTCTTGGCATTCTAATGAACATCGGAATTGATCTTAAGATTTTATCACCCTAGACTGGCCGAGTCTAACTGTAGCGAACAGCTTAGGTGTGGGGGAGTCACCCCCGTATAGATCTATACACAAACTCTCGCTCTCCCTCCAGGAGACTTTGATTACAACTACAGACTACGACCGACACTTATTGGTGTCACCCGTTATTACTCACTTAATCCAAATGAATTTGATTAACCTTGATTAATGACCTGATTTTAGTTTACTTGAAGAGAAGGTAAGCCTAACAGACGAGGAGAAGAGGACTACTAGGCCCTACTAATTACGTATGTTATTTAAGGCTGTCGAGTATACGAAAGGCGCGTTGGCCATTTCGCATCATAAGATTTATTTGGACCTTACTAGCAATGCTAATGGGCCACTGAGGCCCAATAGCATGTAAAATCCATTGAGGGTCCCTATGTAATTGGGTCACAGGAGGCCCAATAACATGTATTATTTATGTTGGGCCCAAAAGTCATGTTAATGGGTCACGAAGGCCCAATAAGCATGATAGAATCTTCAAGCCCAACAATTAGAAGTTTACTTGTTTTGTATAGTATTAGTGTTGCGAAGTTGTTTAATCGATATGTCGTATAATCACCAATTGTTTTATAACGATTCATAGATTTATAAAAATAGTTATTTTTCTATTTAAAACCCATAAGTTATAAAATTTTGTATATTTTGACCCAATTATTTATTATTAACATAACTGACAAAATATTAGTTTGACCAATTCAGCCCCCTTATTTTGGTAAAGTTGGCAATTTTTAGCCCTTTTTATAAAAAATGACATATTAGGTCCTTGAACTATTTTTCTTGACATTTTTGACCTAAACACTTAATTAAATGATGTTTTAAGCCCAAAATTTTATTTAGGACAGTTTCATCCCCTTAGTTAAAAGATTTGCATTTAAATCCATACTTTTCGCAATTTTTACAATTTTTACCCAAAATCCAAAATCTTTGCATTTTTAGTCCCTTTGATAAATAAGGCCATTTTAACCCCTGAAATAGGTTTATAACGTTTATAGCCC